AAGAATGCATAAAAGACAGTGAACATGCAAAAAAGTGTAACAGGTCGCTGCATGATGCAAAAGTGCATTAAAATATGTGGGGAATATGAATGGTTAAAAGGGTGAAAAAGCCTAAAACACGTTCATTTCATTTGCAAGATGAAATGTTCACCCGAGCCAACTTTAATGTAAATAAAGGGTCTACTGAAATCAAATTAGCAGTATGTTTACAGTCATTTATGACTGCTGTTAGGCAGGCCTTAAATATTAGAGAAAAGATGTCTCAGACGCTACGAAAAGTAGTAGAAATAACCAAAAGCAAAAGTTGTGGGGCGCACCTGTACGCCGTAGCTCAGCATGACAGCCGTTGTCCAAAGAAAGAGGAGGCGTTGGTTAAGTTCTGACTCCGGCATCCCGACCGCCTTGTAGACAGCGTCTACTGCGTGCGTGAGTTGAACATCATCCCTCTTGCGAACCAGACGATAGATCTCCGAGCGCAAGGAAGGCAAATCGAGGAGGGCAGTGACTTGGAAGCGCAGAAGAATGCACCAGAGGAGGGAGAGGGTTTTTGAGCGGTGTCCATCGACAATGTCCCGCTCACTTATTGGTTTACCTAAATACATGAAAAGGTAAGTTAGGCAAACAATTGACTTCTGATTAGAGTGGGGGAAAGGAATGTATTCAGGGTAATAGATTCGGTTGACGGTATTTTACTTTAGCATATCGACATTCGGAAACGTAAGTCAAAAAAATATTGAGAAGCAGCGTCACGGCGTATAAATGCTATATCAAAGCATGGTCTATCGGACGTCGATTTCGAGCTGATATGGCAGTTGGTGGGAGTACCTCCATTCCCACGATGGGGCATCACACAGAATGGCGCCCGCATGAGCTGCCACACTGCCATGGGAGCGCGAACCTGAAACGTGGCTATCGATCTCTAGTCAGCTCTGATTAATCCATGTCTCTGACGATTTCAAAACCACCAGATCATTACATATACACAGCCTTCCTGCTGGCTAATTTGAATAATCTTATTGACCCAACTGCGCAGCTCAATTGGTAGAGCGTTGACTGTACAAAAGACTTCCCTGCTGACGTGGGTTGGAATCCCATCGAGGCCAGGAATTCTTCCTAGTTGGGTCAATTGAATGACTTACAGCTCTCTCTGCATATTCGATAGTCTTCTCGCCATCTCGCGTGCTGTCTTCGGGAACAACTGTTAGGCGAGCCCACAGTTCGTAGTAATTACAAACAGCAGGAACGGGTCATCATGCGCGACGCAGGTTCCCACCTTACGATTGCTGACACATACGCTGACTCGAAGAAAATGTTGCGGGGTGGACCAAAAAGGTTCGCAAGCTGCCAGGACGACCACTTTACTCCTCGTACATCAAACAGCACCATTATACTCCCTTAGGAAAGTTCACGGGGAACATGTGTCACCGTTCTCTTTGGGCATCAATAGAAAATGGACCGAGAAATTAGGCACCTATCAGTAAAATGCTATGAGAAACCTATTTTTAAGTCAGGAAATCGAGAGTAAAACGTTTTTTATCTATTTGGGAGGATATTAATCCCCAATTTTTATTCTAGAAAAGCATTTAATTTTCCGAGGTCTTGTTTTAAGATGGTCCCGTAAAGTCGGCTCAGATGATCATGAATGGAAAGAACTTCGTCGAGTACGCACTATGTTGCCAGCAACTTTCATGAACTGTCTGTGCCTGATGGTTTGGATAGTTATTGAATTCGGAGTGATCGACCTGAAGATTGGACAGGGAGAGCAGAAAAAGCAAGGACCTCGTAGACGATGCCTTTAGTTACATCAGAATTAAGCGATGCAGGATAATGCTTCAATTCACCGATCAAAAGAAGCATGATTCGGATTTAGCCTAAGAATATCATCTTTTTTCAGACCTTAACCAGCCTGTTTGCCATTGATTTACATTATGCCTTAAAAATTAAAAAAAAACGCTACAGGTTTTCCCAGAAAAATGTATACACATTTTTAATAATTGTAAACTCGGTTTTTATTATCACTGTAACCGGTCCCATTTACAGGAACCTGCTGCAACAGCATTAGAAAAGACTATAAAGATGAAGGGTTTTCTTTTCGGCAGGATAGGGCACCAGCAAAATACCATCGCGATGTTAAATCCCTCGATGAGATCTTACCAAACAGGTGGATTGGACGAAGGAGTTTTGTTAAATATCCTCCCCGTTCAGCAGACCTCACACCACTAGATTTTAATGGGGATACCTAAAAGACAAAGTCTGCGCTATGGAACCTGCAACACTCGCTGAATGGACAAAAGCTATTGAACACGAATACGCGCAAATACGAAGGGAATTGTTTCATGTTGTGCGTAATTCCATTGCTTCGCTTTGCCAGCAGTTTCTGGATCAAAATGGACGTCAGTTTGAGAGCGCGCAGTAAAAAAAACATAAAATGATACTTGTAAATATTTTTACATTTCTGAAATAATAAAATTATAATTAGTCACAGTTAGTTAAAATGTGTATACATTTTTTTTGGGACACCCTGTATCAGCCGTCTTTTGATTTGACAAAATGGATTATTTCTTAGCTAATTAATAATAATTTAGCAAGTGAACTGAACCTTCCTTACAAGAATAGTCGCTTATTTATCGTTGTATAACTTTCGTGTAGGCTGAGTAGGTAGCCTGTGCATTACAAGTCTTAGTGTGCGAAGTTCGTGGCTTTTCTTCCGTCACGAACAATAACTGCGTATCAATGGAAGGCTCTGCTATTCGCAAATTACATCAAAAATAGTAGCTATTGTTTTACAAATAAAACCATTACCTGCAGCGGTGAAGAGATTCTTCCCTTCGCTGGCAGCTTCAAAGGCGGAAATCGCAAGACCGACGTTATGAATCTTCTGCAGGCGGCTAATAGGTGGGAAGCGGACAAGACTCATCAAGTTCCCAGCATGTGATAAAACTGACCCAGAGTCGTTTAGTCCACCATGCTCCGTCGACACTTTTCCTTCGAGAAGCAAGTCAGCTAATTTCCTAAAAAACGAAAACCGATAAGATTACTATGCGTGTGTGTGTGTGTGATTGGGTGGCAATAAAAAGGCAACACGGAAAAGAAAGCAAAACTCACACGAGACGTAGACCATCGCGCAAATCGACAGCAAGGTTTTTTACGGTGAAATCATACTCATCAAGGGCAGTTTGTGAAACGCAGACGGTCGCGCCGATGGCTGACAGACCACGCACTAGGTTCACCTCACCCTGGAGACATAGGTTGGCGAACTTCAACAAGATCTCAGCAGAGCTCTGGAAGCCAAAAGGGCAGTATAGTTAGGATTTCTAAAACAGGACCAGTTTGGTAGTTTTCACAGCGATCTTATGCACACACATACACACACCTTTATAGGTGACTTCGATTTGAAGAGACAGGGGTTGTAACGAACAATCCGCTTCGCCTTTGACTGATCCAAGAGCCAAATTAAGACGAGACAGCGCTTGACGATCTGCCGGTTGTAATGATCGTTGAAGGTGACTTGGGGAGTTATAAAATAAATAAAAGAGTGAGACATTAACCAATGAGAAAAAGAGAAACATCTTGGTGGCGTTTCATGAATTACATCGAGAAATAGGAGCTGTTGTTTTGAAAAAAATCAATACCAGGATACGCCCTCCTGTTCAAGGCGTCCTGTTTTTCGTAGAAAGGGCAATACCTACATTTAAGTAGCTTTGCATTAATACAATGGAAACAAAATCTGGTACATACTGTTTTGCACATAGCGAAGAATATTTGCTCTAGTGAGACTACATGCAAAAAGAGGACCTACTTAATCATGACTACCCGCAAGCTTCATCCAAAAATACAGTAACTGTTTAGGAATAAGAGTGACGGAACAGTCAGTTTTGAAAAATCCTGTAATTATATGCTTAGCCTTTAAGGGTGATATTAGTTTAAATGAAATCACGGATGATTGCGCTGAACCATAGAGAGGGCGCGCAGTGTAGTTGAACCCGCCCTGCTCAGTCTCATTAAAAGCCTCCCAATAAACCGGACAAAGACGCCTGGCCTAAGAACAACACCCCGAATTGTGTACTTCGATTCACGTACACCTGCGGATGCATGTACACTGGCCGTATGCAAAAGCAATTGGCCGCTAAACATTTACCTAATTGGCTTTTCATGCAAGAAAATAGAATATCCCGGTCCTTGATTACAAGACATCTGCTAGACAGTGGTAATTCCTTTGACCTCAAGACATATTTCGGAGTACTTGTTCAGGCACGAAAAAATCGCCCCTTTAGCTGCATGGAAGCAGCCTATATACGACGGGAGAAACCCAAG